TGACGCTTTGGGAAACCCCGCACAAAAATAAATAATTGCTAAAAGTTTTTAAAACCTTAGACTACAGAGAAACAAGCACAATTTACTGTTCAGTCACTAGTTATTAAACGGCTGATATGATTCTTATTTCTCCATAGTTTTGGGCCTGGAGTGGAAGATTTTGAGCGGGATCGCATGGAAATAGGCAGTAGGTCTAACGAATTCGATATCTTTAGGGAAAAAATTGGTGGATAAGGTTGAACCGATGTATTGCTTAAGGTTCGTGAGGTTGAATTTTTCGAAATTTAATAAAACTGCAGTTTTTGAAACTTCGTATTGGGCTCACTCACGAGTCCAAACTGTTTTTGAATCAGAGCACGAGAAGTCTTTTTTTCGGAACGTCTTTTTTTATCGTTTGCTGTCTGCCATTAATAAGGCACGTTCCAACCACGTAGGAAGGGGCTTGGAATCGAGTAAGCGGAAATGACGCCAGATTCTCAACTCGAAAAACACACATGACACACTAATTTCAATAGAGCCGCCTACAAGTGCAAACCCTACTAACTTGCAATTCAGGCGGAATCCTAAAGAAAACGGTTGGCTGGCGGTGTGTCGTCTAAGGATATAGCAATGCTGCTGATCTCGAAGGTGGAATTTTAGTGCACGTAAGTCCTATGAACAATTCAAGAGTGACCGCGACAAATAGGCAAGATTGGTGAGAGCGCATCAAGCCAATTTCAGTCCTCTGGGACGATTCACAGTTTGCTCTGAAAATTTCGAAAATATTGCTTCGAAAGGGGCCATTACGTAAAGGGTTCTCGACGCACGCTTCGTCTAGGCTTTGTACCAACTATTTGGCTCAAAAAACCGCTCAGGAGTCTCCTTCTTCGGGATCTGAGCGAAAACGTAAGAAGGTAAGTAGGCACGTGCTTCTTGTTTACATTACATGCCAGCGCTCTTGAGTTGTATTTGTCATTCTCAAATGCAACCTTTGTACTTGTTTTGCAAGTGTACTTCATTATTTCACTTCATTTCGTGTTACGTTTTAAAATTCACGGTATTTTTTTTTCTCATTTAGGAGATCAGTGACTTACTTTCCCCTATTGGGAACAAGACATAGTCTGTTGATAAAAAAGAACTGGGACATCATTTGTACTATGCTTCTCTAATTATCATAGGTAAAGACGATTACAGTCCGGCTTCAAGTAAGGCTCTAGATCTAGCGAGGATCATTTTGAATTCATGTCACCAAATAATATTTGTATTTTATATACCAGTGCATGAAAAACTATTTGTTAACTATACATCTGTCTCTTAAGAGTTTCTTGCGCAGTAACACTTCACCGATGGCTGGCCCTACGTCATCCGTATTTGTTGTTGATGGTGTTGATGGTGACAATGTAAGTTTTCCTAGTGTTTATAGATGACACTTATATTGAACAATACTGAGAAAGCATTTTTGCTTGCAAACTGAATTGCTCGGGTAGCTGCATCAGATACTTCAATGAGTTTCTTGCATATGGTGACAAATACACCAAA